TTCATGGTGTTTTTATGAAATCACGCATTTTCTGAAGTCAGTATGGCAAATTAAACCATTTGAACACTTACAGGAGTCTTTTATCTGTTGCAAACCGAAATTGTTTCAGATTTAGTAAAAAAACATAACTTTGCATTAAATCATATTCAATGTCACAGGAACTTTTGTTGTTCAGATTATATTATCAGACCCTGCAGCAGTATCATGAGCCTGCTCAAGGGCAGTATTGAGCTCATGGATGGAAAATATTTCATTGTAATCTGCCCAATCATCTGAATTAAAATTTATAGTTTTCTTTTCTTGCTGCTTTTGATATTTTTGGAATTTAGGGACACAGTTCGAGGCGGAAGAATGTTGAGTCAGAGTTTCACCAAGTGTATTGGCAATATCAGAAGTATCGGTTAATAACATTTTTCCCATTTTTTAGGTGGTGGATACTAGATTAAGAACCCTTACCTTTAATTTTATAAATCATGTTCCATACCTTAGACATCGGCGTACGTGAATTTATCTTGGAGACATAATGTTGCAAAGACTGAGGTTTATCTTGTTTAAATGTACGCCATGCTTTAGCATTTAATATTTTAAACTTATTCAAATTGTGGGACATAGGATGGCGACGGAAATATTGTTCAGCTTTTTTCCTTGCCTTCCTAGCTAGTTTTCAATCATTGCTGAGCCATGGTTTACGTATTTGAGTATTTGAGGAGGACTTCGGAATACATTCATCATCTATTTTATTAAGATTATCAGAGAAACTTTTTATAGGATCGGGAACATGAAGAAAAACATCAGCTTTTAGTTGGTCAGTGCAAAGGACTTGATATAAAAGCCCAGTTTGTTTTATGAAAATTCCATCTTGATGATGGGATAACTTCAGAAGGTGTTTCAGATTGTAAAATGGTAGAGAAATGGTCACTTCCACAGAGGTCATCGTGGACTGACCATTCAAATTCATTTAGAAAATTAGAATCTACAACAGACACGTCTAGACACGAGTAAGTTCCAGTTGCAGGATTTAGATATGTGTGAGAACCATCATTAAAATGCACAGATCGTTATTTAAGAAAAAATCCTCAAGTAATTTTCCTTTAGTATTGGTGTCAGTACTACCCCAAAGCGGGTTATGACCATTCAAATCTCCCATGATAACACAGGGCTCAGGGAGTTGGTCATATAGTGCCTGAAGATCACACCTGTTTGGAGAGGGTACGATGGTGGTACATACAACGAACACAAAGTATACGTACTGCAAAAGCCTGAAGAGGGGTATTGAGAGGAACAGGACCGTGAGTGACGCCCTGCCTCACCATAACAGAGGATCCTCCAGTTGCTTTATCACCTGGAGGGGAAAAGCAATGGTAAGAATCGTGTTGTCGTAAATCAAAATTATCTGTGGTTTTAAGGAAGGTTTCTTGAAGACAAAATGCAGATGGTTTGAAATCCTGAATTAACACCTGAAGGTCGTTAAAATTGTTCCGAAGTCCTCTACAATTCCATTGGAATAAATTCGGGGAGCAGCTCATGGAGGCTCAATTGGAGATCGTGAGCGGGGAGAAGGTCCTCTACGCTGTAATGGCAGCGATGTAACCTCCATATCTAGAGGTTCAAAAGGGTTATGAGCCTCCAGGGGAACATTCAATGGCAAAGGCTCAACATGTTTAAGGGCCCTTGTTTCTTTTTAACGTTTTTTTTTTTTCACTTTTCAAAAGCGGCCTATTTGTTTTTAAGTCACAGTGTCTGGTTGAATGGCATGTTTGGGCAAGGTTACAGTTTCCGCCAGCGGTTCAGTTTGGGAAGCTGATGAAGAGGAAGTGCGGGGGTCATCAGTATCAATTTGATACAATATTTTCTGAACATTCGACACCCGGTTAAGAGCTGTTTGACAACCATTATCAGCTTTGGTAGAAGAGGAGATTGCAGCAGAATAAGTCAGTAAAGAGGTGGAAGTGGTTGATTCACTTGTTACCGGTTTCTTCGCATCTCTAAATGAAATATCACTGGTTTACTTTATTTTCAGAATTTTGGTTTGTGTTACAAAAGATGGACATGATTTTGAAGTGGACATGTGATCACCGCTGCAATTTGCACAATTGATGGTATTTATGCAGTCAGTGCTATCTCGAGTCTCACTACAGCAGGAGCAAATTTGGGTATGATGACAGGATCTAGCTCCATGTCCAAATTGTTGACATTTAAGACAGCGGAGTGGATTTTGTATATACACATCCACTCCGATGTTGACATATCTGGCTTTTATTGATGATGGAAGCTTTGCGAGGTTGAACGTAAAAAGGTACGTATTGGTTTTGATGATGTCACCATCTTTCCTGTTGAATCGTTTGACTGAAGATACACCTTAAGGCTTTAATTCTGCTACAATGTCCTCTTCAGACATGTCTATGAGGCACTTCGCATGGTCACGTACAATGCCTCTACATGAATTGAGTGTTTTGTGCACAGAGACAATAAACTCTGTATTTGCAAAATGATCGGCGTTGAGTAGATTCAGAGATTGCTGTCTCTTTGCACACTCTACAAGCAGTGAACCGGACCGAAGACAATACAGACACGGGTAGCTAAGAGAGTCAAACAGAATAAAGTCAGGCTAGTTCCGCCCTTGACAATTTTCTGAAAACAAATAGAATCCGGAGATCAGTAATGCCAGATTGGCCCATGAGCCACCGCCTTCATACATGGGACTCTAGGCAGATTAATATCACAATCAAACTTCTGAATGGAATACAATTTGCCTCATTTGGTCACCTCATACGACAAGCAATGGGGTGCTGAGGACATATTCTGCCCCGGGTCCACACAGGGGAAGAGCGATTAGCGTTACCCAGCACTCACCACGTGGAGGTTGCTGTTCATGGATGCCTGATGGCCTTGGAAATGCAAACGGGTTTAATTTTAAGGGGTGGTGATCTGATGCTTCGAGTACAATGAATCGAGCCCAGGAATCAAATTGTAGATCAGTTTCTTCACCAGAATAGCTGGCATCTAAGTGTTTTCTTTTTGAACCAGGGCATTTTATAGACACAATTGGAGAAAGTGGTTTTGCACCCCTGCTCCCCACCCACCATCGAGTATCAACAAGGGCGGTGTCTTATTGCATTGGATATCCAAAATGCAAAAACCCGGGCTACAAGGGTGTTATACTCCAGCAAATATGACATGAATAGCTATATCTGTCTGCTAAATTTATTGCCAAGTTGGTTCTGCCAATAACAGTTATTTAGAGGCATAAAGAATTTAGCAGTCAACATTACCAGATTGGCCCATGAGCCACCACCTTCTGGGCAATATATTTATTTCAATTAATATGTTTTCAAAAGACCAAGCAATACATGTGTGATAAATTTGATAGATGCATGTGCATAAATAAGCCGTAATACACACAAGGCTTGGCGTGACCAGCCGACAGAACCGCTCCAATTCTACAACCCGTCCAGCTGAAGATAGGGTCAAAGTAGTGTGTTGGGCAAAGGAAAACAGTTCCAGGAACAAGTGCCCAGGAACTACCAGACTCCCCACCTCAACCGACACAGGGGCGCAATCCGCGGCAAACGGGTTGCCCAATTCGGTCGCCTTTTACGACCAGCAATGGGGGTGCTGAGGACACATTCTTATTCATCGTCCCCGGGTCCCCACGGTGAATTTTGACTTAAAAATTCTGTTACTGAGCACTGATTCTACCAGTAAATAAACATGGTATTTATTTATTAAACATACTATTTTAGTTTCAATTTTATTGCTGGAACCATAGGAAAAACATACACTTTTTTTTCACTATATATACTAAACACATATAACCCCATAACAATCTAGTTTCAAATGGTTACTATGATACTTCATCTTCATTGTTTGTGTGCTGTGTTTAATCCTTGTTGAAGATCATCATGTCTACTCCTACCGATTTTAGGTACGGAGACGACATCTACCCTGCCTGGGCCATGGGACTTGGATGGATGATATCCTGTGCGTCACGCATGCCATTACCTGTTGTCTTCATCTGGACGGTTTACAAAACAGAGCCAAACATAATCATGGAGGTGAAGTGACCTATTGTATGGTGTAATTCGGAGTTCGAGTGCATGGACGGTTTTCTGTGAGAATCTGTGACTTCGCTTTTTGTGTGCCATGGTATCCCAATGCTAATATTGCTGTCTGCGACGCTGAAATTCCCTCAATAGTGATAGTTGATAGGTTGTGCATCAGATAAAGGAAACTGTTGTATACTACTCAAAAGGAGTTAATGATCACCCGATTCTTCCATATTACAATAGTTAATCTCTCATGCCATGACAGATTAACATTACCGATATGAAAGAATCGGGTGATCCTTAACTTCTTTTGAGTAGTATAGTTAGGGTGGATACATGGATTGTTGTGGGTAATACATTCTTGTACGATAAACTATGCAGGCGTGGTTTTGGGAGTGTTAATGTACACATTTAATAGTGTTATCATTTTCATGTTTTCATCCTATTTCCTCATTTATAGATCGGTTTAATGTGTATATTTAATCCAAAATAATTGTATTCACTGTTTATGTCTAATACATGTATTTCTGTTTTTGTTTCCAGAAATTCGCTCGAATCCAAAATTTGCTTGGGTCTCTCGTCGTCTGCCTCAGATACTTTCTGAGGACACTATGGAAACAATGCTTTATTTCCATTTCATTGTACACATGCATTCATACATATGGTCGTGCAACATAGTAAATCAAGTATTTGTTAAGGAAGTGAACGACTATCATTGTATTTTGTAAGTATCACCGATACATGTACACTGATGGTGACATAGCCTCAAACAACAACATCGACTACCAAACAAGCTTTTATTCATATTGTAGTTGACAATGTAATAATATATGTTTGTTCTGGCATTATATTTCTTGAATTGAAGATACTCAAGCATTTTGTAGATATTTTCAGCGGGACATTCACTCAATTTCTACTTCTTCGAATATCAAGTGAATTGTTTTAAGGTCTCCATTTGTCTTAATAATAATAGGGTCTTCTATCACTTGGATTATTTGGGGTTTTTTAATTTAAGACAATACCTCAGCAATATCATAGTGCTCACATTCGCATGGCAATTGTGTCAAATACACTGAGATACCAATGCAAAACATACTAATATTATCTGTTCACAATCAGCTATTATCAAGTCGAGAATGTTCTGTCAACGAAACTCTATGGTATTCCAAATGCTCCTCACTATTCACTCAAACAAAACACAAACTGGTCCCCATTTTATTGTGTGCACTTGATACATGGATATGCATTCATCGTTTATTGTTCCATGTACGTTTTGGCAGCCCGGAACTTCCTTCTTTCCAAATGCCAACTTACGAAACTCAATCTTAGCCCGTCAACTACTGTAAGCCTAGATAAAAGTGTAAGCGCTACATCAATCTGAGCACTAATGTCGATTTGTGCAAACGCCTTCACGGCATGCATAATCAATAATCTGCGTAATTTCATTTGATGTCGTCATGGCGAGAAATGCCATGCTCGAAAACAGGCACTTACATTCAGATATGTTGTACCTGAAATTCCGCCACCCTTTTTGGCATCGCTGATTGGTTACTCGGCAAATGAGTTGACCGATACCAGGCTTACCGATACAACTTTGACACAAAAGGATACCGACATTCGTGATCTGATTAGGAAGGTTTGGCCCTCATTGTCAATCATTTAGAAATGAATATTACACGGCAGAAAGAAATTCGTGTGGATGTGCCCTTTTCACAAAGGAGCATGCTCTGCAGCCATGGGATAATACAGTTACATGACTGACATTTGTCAGTATATTCAAAATATCCGCGATCTATCGTGCGCGACAGATCCCTGACATTTTGTATACACAGCCTATCATCATGTAACTATAACGTACATAATACCATTGGAATAATACCCGAGACAGTTTGGCAAGTTTTCTGAAGATTTTCGCCAAGTGTTTGGGTGCAGAGAGGGTCATCAACATTTGGTGGTGGTGGTGATGGTGAAATGGGGTTTAACGTCGCGTCCAAGATTATTGCACTTATATAGCGACGCATCAACATTTGGAGGTCCCCCGACGACATATGTATATAGACAAGCTTCCTGCGTCTCTGTTGATCATCTGTAAGGGCCCAACCTTCTGTAGCTTTTCATGTTTATTTAATATGTACTTTATTTGCATAGGGGAGTACAACTGGAAAACTAATCCCCCACCGTCATGGCAACCAATCTGTGTAATTCATGTGTTTCATGTTTGACCTCGTTTCAATCAAGATTTTGTTTAACATCGATTATCTGCATTTGGATACTGTCACACCTAGAAAATTTAGAAGTGTAAGCGCTACATCAAACTGAGCACTAATGTCGATTTGTGCAAACGCCTTCACGGCATGAGAAGTTTTAGAAGTTAATAATTTGTAAGATGTGTTTAATTTAGGCACTTTTTATTGCCTAACTTTAGGATTGGTAAATTTATTTGAACAATATGCAAAACGGTTTGGGGATCAGGATTGAAGTTAGAATGTTGCATTTGCATATTCTGCCTGCGAAGTTATATATATATCTTACGTCACCAATTATCACTGTCTCTACAAATTTTAAACAGGTGGGAATTGTCGCAACGGTAAGGGGCCGCACATGATTGAACTACCAGTAAAATAAGGTCAATGCTATCATGGTCAGAATCGAAAAGTAGTCAACAACAGCATATGTGTTTTTTTCAGAATGGTTTTGTGGGGGAATTTTGTTATCTGACCATTTGAGAATATGAACATGGCTTGGTCGTTCCAGAAACTGCTTGATAGGAATGTTTCTAAAGGGCTGTATATAAAGCGGCACTAGGGCAATTCGAGGCCTTTTTCGAATCTGCTTGTCATGCACACATAGGATACCTATTTGGATCACAGTATTTCTGCCAGCTTCGAACACTATTCTTGATTCACCGAGGTTGTAAACGTCTGAGACCCGAATCACTTCGGGCTTTCCTCCCACATTAAGCTGACACGCCGTGATATAACTGGAATACTGTTAAAAGCGGCGTTAAACCTAACTCACTCACTCTAATATCTGACGGAATTGATATAATAAACAATCATCTTAACTTTATTTACTTAAAAGCAAATTCTACACATTACTGTAGGCCTTCTTTTGTGTGGCCTTCAGGACAGACCCTTATCAAAATAAAATAAGATCATCTTTGTGCACCGTTGACACCAATTGCGACATAAGCAAACGGAGATGATAATTGATACTTTTTGCAAAGTTTGTCTTTAAAATCAGTAATTTTAAAAACAAATCTTCTAACACATATTTTACATTCTGTACATTCATATATTTACTTATAAACATCCCCTCAAGAACGATATTCGTCAGCCTTCAAGAGATTGCATTGGTTGTAGAGTGTTCATGTCAAACGTCGCTCGTTGGCGCCACTGAACAGAAGGTTGAAGTGATGTCCGTAATTTCTGAATATAAGTATTTCATCATGAAATTATTTATACATAAACTTGAATATAATAGAAATTTCTTATTCATAGGCACGTACAATAGGGATGAAACACAATCCTCAGTTCTGGTATTAATTCTAGATGTTTCCAACTAAGTATTTAATAAAATCCATACATTAGTGAGACTTATTAGTGAGTGAATATTATCTTTAAATAAATGTCTTTATATACCTCCTTTAGCGTAGAACCAGGCGTATGGTACAGAGTCCAGATGAAAACTATGGGCAGTTGTATTATGGAAATGCTTGATATCAGCCATCCGACTCCTGTTGCCCAGGTAGGGTAGATGTAGTCTCCATACTTAGGGGGCCGGTAGGAGTGAATGGAGTAGCAGAAGATAGCCTGTTAAAAAGCGAATATAATGTGCTGTTGATAGTTTGCTCAGTGCCCTTGGTCTACCGTTATTATGCTGAAAGAGAACATCCTCAAAGAAATTGACATAAAATGTCTTTGTATTCAGTTATCTTTAGAATGTGTCAAGTAAAAACGGCACTCATTTAATGTAAAAGATATATATTCCTCAGTATATTCCTTTTGATGGTAACAATTTTTCATAGCCTTACCAATAACAAAAGCGGGCACACATATTTGATGGACAGCATCATGGCTCGGGGGACCTTCATTCCCCACATGGCACTGATATCTCGATTCAGTCTCTCTAAACCTAAAACACAAGCAACCAGATATGACATAAGCATTTGGTCTAAGCTGATAAAATATTAGGCATCTTTAAGGGGTATACAATATATTCTTCAAGTCGCAATTTACAGATGGAATTAAGGTCAAGAAGGTATACATTGCCAACATTTATGAATAAGCAAGAGATACTGATGTTCAAACCCTTCTTAACTAAATTTGGAATATATCAGTTGATCATCCTATTTTGTAATTAGTTATCTGGTTACCTATTAGGAAAGGGCCATAAATGAGGTCATATATGTACGTCTAGAGCAGATGTCACTCTGAGGTCATGTAGGTTCCCCAATTGCATCCTAATTTGCGTTATCTAGCCTAGACTGCCTCAGTGATATAATACAAATCAAAATTGAATTCAAAAGGTTCACAGATGTTTTCTTGAGGCATGTGGTTGTTCAACGTTTAGCTAGCATTAAGCCAATATTAGCAAATTTATCTCATTATGTGGATCAGTGGAAAAAACAAAAACACGTTCTTACCATAACACCAACTAACAACAAAGCATTCCAGCATGGCAAATACTGCTACGGCAGGGAAGTAGGTATACCAGTCCACCAGAGTCACAATGTAAATTCCACCCTTAGAATCAAACATTCTTGTTTACATTGCCGTCAAAATAGGGCAGACAATACATTCTATGGTATGTACTGCAGCCACGACACGACACGATGCATTTTGATACTTTATTCACGATAAGTTATGTACCTCAATTCTAGAGTACATGTGAGTTGATACATTCTAATTTTGATACATCAGTAACATGATCAGACTGAGTTCTTATTTGGTATACAAAAACCCAAAAGAACATGTCTCAGTATGCTTGAAAAGTACAAATAATTATGCCGATTATGAAGAAATAATACATATTAATACAGAACAAAAAGTATACGTCTTGTTAGATCTTTTCAACTCAGGACAAGCAAAGGTTCCTAGGGTCCAAGTTCAGATCGGAATCCCCACTGGAAAAGCTAGATAAGATTAGAACACTTTGTTAACATTTTTTATATCCACTGATCGATGGATATTTTGGTGCAAATGGTTCCACTTGTTCTGTACCTGTGTGGTGCAGGGAAGGGCAAAGAGGAAGTTGCTCAACAGTATTACACAAATGACAACCCATCGTCGCTTAGCTAGTCCACGAAATACGTCTTCAACGGCTGCAATCATTATCTCCAACCCTGGTAACTGTGAAGCGAACGGAATGGAAAACGTGTATAAGGTCAGTCTATAATTCGTTCTTGGTCTTTTCAATTACATTAAATGATTGTTATTATATCACAGATGCCCTAGTTTACTACATCCAAATAAGTACCAGCTTATGACGACTCTTTCATTTTTTAGACTTACTCGGCATTACTTGGTATCCATAGAATGTAACGTTTTTCTTAGTTGGTTGTCTGAACTATACCATTTTCAATTTTCAATTTTTCCAAACTCAGTAACATGAGTTTTCAATTTTTAATCTTCCACTCCAATCTTGGTCAAAATATGTTCAAAACATTTGCTGCTGTCGCCCAACCACAGTGTAAGGCAGTAAGCTATATGCAACCTTATAATATAATTTACCATTGAGTCCACTTCAAGGGTCATCAATGCAAGGAAGGTCATTGCAGACCAAACTTGTGGCAGAGGGAGATACGCCATGACTTCGGGGTAGACAATAAAGGCTAGGTTGAAGCCTGAAATACATTTATCCTAAAAGTTACAATGTACTAAAAAAGAAACAGATGATAACCACGTGAATTAGCACGTGAATGAATGTCGATATGAATGTACTCGTCCCTGGGAAACAATCTGTTCCTGTATTGTAAAATTCCTCCCTTGCATCGTTCATTTTAAAAAAACTCCGCCCGCCATTGCTCAGTCGCTGTGTTCGTCCACTTCCGAGTTTGCTTGATGGATCGCATGGCAAGGTCACTCTTTGAAACGTTCGTAAAATGTTACGTGTCGTTTGTTGTAGGTGACTTTGAATGGCGTTTATGTCAAATGCCTATCATATGACATCAGTAAAACTGCGGTGTACTGCTTTCCTTCCTCCTTCTTATCTCCCTCCATCAATGGGTGATTAGGGATGTTCACGAAGTCAATTAGGAATTTCACTAAAAGACACATAGAAATTGAAACCTCGAAATTGTAACGACAAAACCCCTTCTTTAATCTTCAGAAAGTTTAGTGTTCTGCTTTAGTTGTGAAAAGCCAAGAACAAATTACTGCGTGATCGAGTCTGGAGATTAGAAATAGAAACAGACATGAGCCTGTGAATGAAATAACCCCATCCCCATCAATCATCAGACTGGCATCAGTCTGGACAAGCACAAGCAGCAACACACACACACGTGCATGCACGTCGCTATATCATTGCAATATATCTTGCACGCGACGTTAAACCCCATTTCACCTCACCTCACCCAACCAAATTAGGGGTCCACTACTTCTCTTTCACAATATGATCCAGTGACAATAGGGTTTTGAGGATTGAAAATGTTGCAAAAATGTGTTATTGTTGGATGATTGTATTGTAAGTCGGTGATGATAAAAAACATTAAAATATGGAGGTGCAGAGACGAAATACATCTAACGAATTTAAAATTACCTGATGATTCGAAAGCTTCGACTGGAACCCCACGTAGGTAAGCAACATGTCCAATAATAGCAAAGAAGGCAAAACCAACAAAGATGAGGCAAAGCATATCGGCGATGCTAACAATCAGAACATCCCTTAAACAGAAAGCATTACATTCGGTGTAGCATAACTAAATTATTGACTATGCAATAATAAATACATCAGTGCCTGCACTGTTTTGGGCTTTTGTTGTGTTATTTTATTTTTATGACGAGGGTTTCCATCAACAAGAAAATTATAAATCAAAAACAGACTTCAGCGAATTCGGAGGATGAAATGCATAATAGAAATGCCACATTTTTTAACTACCAACAGTTGCATTGCTCGCATTTATTTCTTATTTGCATTGATGGCTAACAATCAGGACATCCCTGAAACAGAAATCATTACATTTGTTTTTGTTTTGTTTGTTTGTTTAACGCCTCACTCAGAAATATTCCAGCTGTATGACAACGAATTGTAAATAATTGAGTCTGGACAAGACAATCCCGTGACTAAAATCATGAGCATTGATCCACGCAATTGGGATACGATGATATGCATCAACCAAATCAGCAAGCCTGACCACCCAATCCCGTTAGTCCCTTTTTACGACAAGCATACTCGCCTCTTATGACAAGCAAAGGTTGCTGAAAACCTATCCTAACACGTATTTTCACGGATTTAAGTGCCATCAAACTAATACTAGGGCTGCTGAGGTCATCAGATCCTCTTAGAGATCTATCATCTCTTAAGCTATACAGCTGAATAAAGCAAATCACTTTGAGTGTCAAGCAAACCCTGCACGATGGCATGACAGAAATTAGTATTAAAAAGGCTTTTATTTACCATGTTTTGTACCTAAATACCTAAAATAGCTCTTTGTAACTTTGTTGCGTATTTACATTGTACATGCCTAAAACAGTTGTTTGTAACTTTACTGTGTATTTACATACCTAAAACAGTTGTTGGTAGTTTTGTTGTGTCCAGCCATAGTAATGATGTTTCCCATGGCTATGTTTAAAGAGTACAGTGCCAGACTACATGCCTCTATCCACATCTACACAAAAAAGCAAGTTGCAGGGCATGTGAGTCAGTCTCAGTTTCAATCTTTTATACCACTCCATAAAACATGATTACAACTTTGCAAAAGTTCTATCGCACAAAACAAGCTAGTCATTTTATGAAAACATTAAATCAAAACAAAAATTGAAAGTGAATGAGTTCAATTTGCATTGCTTCATATTCGTCGTGAACAAGGATTTGCGTTTGTGGTGAGATATCAGCTCATAAACTTACTCCTGGTTCCAAAAGTTTCTCAAATTTAGGATATACATAGAAGTAAATTCCATCTGCAGAACCCGGAAGCAGACATCCCTGGATGAGGAAGACCAAAAGGAGGAGGATGGGAACGCCCACTGTGACGTACACGACCTGTACAAAATGAGGATTTGTCCAACCATGTATAATGCTTCATTATTATGTTCACATAACAATAATCAATGCCAATTGTAAACATAAGGTCTAAGTCAATCTGGTTTCAGAGCAAAGTTTAGTTAGAATTATATCATTTGAGGGTATCCCTTTCACAGGAGTCCGAACAAAGTGGGCCTAACGAAGTGAAGACCATGTGCTATGACTTCCTGCGATAACTACACGTATATAAACTGCACCGATACTGGTTACTTGCCTTTCCTGACACTCTGATCCCTTGAAAGATGAATAAGAACATGATCACACAGGTAACTCCCATTAACCCAACTAGGGGCCAGCGGATACCACCAATATGTTCCAGGCCATCAGTCATCTGTAACGCCTGGAATCTGGGAAGGGGAATATCTTTGAAGATATATTCGACAAAATAGGGATCTAGAGTAATTTGCGTCGAGAGTGAGTAAGTATAGTTTTCAGCAATGTACCAGCAATATCACGACGGGACACAGCAAAAATGGACTTCACACATTGCAGCAATGTAGGGAACCCTGGCCTTCGGCGTGACGAGCGAAAGCATTGAACACTAAGGTACACGACGTGCACTGGTCCCGATTAATTTTTCTTGCCTCACGCCCAACCATTACCAATCACATTCCATCAGGAAACTGCGTGTCTCACATTGCACATAATAAGTATGGTCACAGACCTCATTGGACAACATGACATCACCATACTTCCGTGGCCTACTGTTTCGCCAGATCTGCTTGTTTTTTCTGTAAGTGCTATTTGGTGATTGCAAAATATAAAATCAGTCTCAACATACCTCCAAAACTCTTCTGCAGCAGTCACACCCGGGACCGTTTCAGTGACATTGGTGAAGTTACTGTGACTGAGGCCAGTAACATTAGCTACTGTACTGTTCAAGGTGCTTCCGTTGCTATTTGCTATACATGCAGGGGTGTTCCAGGAGTTGTCACAGCTGGCCCAGGGAAGCTTGTCGAGGAACGAGTGGTAGAAGTAATACATAAACCAGGCGAATATGGCCATGTAGTAGGTGACATACAGCCACATCACCAAAGCAATCCCAAAACCAATGCCTGTTAAATGAGAGATTGAGACAGACGAGTTTGATTTTACATCGCTATGAACAGAATATCAGTTATATCTGAAGCCTAAGGAATACACACCATTAACTCGATAAATCGGTTGATATTCTTTGTTATTACCCATAAGATATAATGCAAATCGTCTTAATACTGGCATGAAATTTGATTGGTTGATACGCGAAATGCGACCTGCCTGGTACTTCTTTGGGTGAATGGTTGAATGAATTCATTCATACGTATGTTAAAAAACTTAATCAACAATGGAAACTCATAGATACAAATGTGTATACGTCATTCATATGCATATTCATAAATGTATCATCAGCTGTATACATGTTTCATTATATATATATAGATTTAAGTAGATGCAATATATTGATAAAGAATTGTGGTTTGTATGTTGTTCAACACTGCACACAGAATTATGAAAATAGACGATTAATGACCTGCTTTATTCGTGTGGTTTCTTGCATCACTGCCATGGTCCAAAACAAGGCCAAATGATAACCATTAGCACTGCACAAAGTACGAACCAGACTATACTCTCATCTGTGTCGTGGAAATTAATGCAATAACATCCTTTTCATTGTCATAACAAATCTCTTCTGAAGCAAAGTCCATTGTACGATTACGACTATATCATAAGCATGCTTTTATGTATCACTATCAAATAGTGACGATAGCAGCGTATCCCGCCCCTTCAGTTTCACCCGTCACAAACACATGCAAAGGCAAGTCAATTGTCCATCTAAAAAAACCCAGTCAAAATGGGGAACTGCAACGGACATAATTTTGGTCACCTATGAATCAGATTTGGAAATGTCCTCCACTTGTTTACCAAAACACTTTAAAGCTTTGCTGAGGCCTTGAGTGAAACCATGATCAAACAACTTTTGAGCAAGTCGTATGACGCTCTTTGCAATTCCGTGGAAAGAGCAGGCTCAATTGTACCTACAATATATGAAATGTAGACATCAAAGGCTGGAGCTACTGGAATACTGTACTTAAAGGGAAAGTTGACTATTGGAAAATTGAAATATTCCCTATTCTCTTGTGGAGAGTTTGTTGTCACTCTGAATCTTTATGCATATACTTAAATTTGAAACAAATGAAACTGACAAACCACACTTCATCATGTTCCCCTGTCTCTTGCGAAAAGGATGGGGTTGGTTAAGAAAATATGGGCATGAACGTGATAACAAATGGGAAGCGTGTCTATTATTCTGCAAATACTTCCTGTATAGAGTTCACACTTAACAATAGGTATAGCGTTAAATATTTCATGGCGTGTGATGAATTTCATGGTTAGCTTGTATTCTTATTTGTATGCCTCTCTCATGTATCTTAAAACTCCTGCAACGTTTAAATTGTCTGTTGCTCATTATATATTTTAAGTAAGTTTTGTACATTTTCGCATGTACAGCAAAGCATTGCAAATGCACTCATGTTATTTTATTCATGAGTGTTGAGGCGAGAGTGTCTACCATGTAGTTTGTTCGTTTGTGTGTTTATTTGGTGTTCAAGGGCGCAAAAGTCCAGCTTTATGACGGCAGTTTGGAATGAAATCGAGTCTGGGCCAGACAATCCAGTGATCGATATCATGAGCATCGATCAACCTTTTACGGCAAGCTAGGTTGCTGAAGACATATTCGACCCCGGATCTTCACGGGTCTCTAGCATGTAGTGTTGTTCACAGTATTAAGAAATAAACGCCGCCGCTCATGGTTTATTCTCCCAGCTGTGTTTTATTGTACGATAACAACTCCACTCGTCGTTTCCCTCTAAAAACATACGCCGTCCAATTTACGAAGTCACTAAAGTGCGAGCGCATGTTCGAATCTCCAGAAATGACTTCATGTTAGAACAATGTTTTATCGTGAAATTAACAACGTTCTTCGTTGTTCTTTACGATGTATCGCGTAGACCTCATCTTATGTTATATAGTAATACCCCCAGGACGTAACTCTTGAAATGTCTTATTATTTACCAACATGAAGGTCCGTCACACGTTTGTATATTCCTGCAGCCATTTCAATACTATACAATACCTTTAAATGGTGGACATAAGTTCCAGACGTTGATAGGTCCAGTTTGAGAGAGCTGGCCAATCACCATCTCCAGGAACACACAGGGAACAGCGCCGATGAAGGTGAATAAAATGTAAGGTATCAGGAACGCTCCTGTGAGGAAACAATTTGTAGCTCTCATTTTAGACATACCACATGCTTCACACTTATAACAAACCATCTTTGCAAGAAACGGAACTCTAATGTCAGAATGTCGTTGTTACTTTTTGATTCCAATATTGCAACAATTAGTTAACCCAGAAATCTGTGCAAAAACAACCATCACATGATATACAATCAACATTTCTTTAACACAATTATCTAGGTTTACAAATCAATATAAAATTACTGCACAGCAATCATACTGGCAGTATGCAGTAAAGTGGTGGTACAATATTCAATGGCAGAATCAAATAGAAAGTATGATAGCAGTGGTGATATATATACAATGATAACAAGAAAACAGCGTAATTCACTTTCCCCCGCAGAAGTTGAGGGCCCCGTCCTAGGACCAGTAACGTGACTGCGCATGCGCCAAGAGGGGCATTGTGGGTCATGCGTGCGCAAGATCCAAGATGGCGGCATTTCCGTTTCCGTGAGGCGTGCGCACCTCCTTAGACGAACAACTAACATTGCGCTACAATACGAAAGCCTTGTTGAACGAGACCTTGCACCTCAAAGTTTACAATCACATCATAATACCCGATGACATGATTTGTGGAATTTTGTTGCAAGATGCTTCGCCGATGTGACGTCAACCTAGCAACAAAGTTACTGGGTCATCGACTGTGTATAAGCTCGTCTCAGTGATCTATCATCTCCACACGCAATCGCCACACCAGTCAGTGTCATGGCAGGAGACAGGTGGTAGGCCATTGCCTTTGCAGCACAGCACCTACATGTATGTGGGTGAAGAGTTAGTCTCTCACGATCAAACGGCCCTTTTCAGGGCCACCTATCTCTCCCGAAAGAACGCTTTCATCAATTGCTTTGACTACCCTCAAACCAAAACAAAGAACCCACCTCCTCCTCCCTCCCTCTCGCCTTCCCGCCGTCGCCATCTTGGATGGGGAGATTGCACCTCGGAAACGGACGTGCCGCCCTCTTGGAGGTGCGAACGGCTCAAGGAAACGGAAGTGCCGCCATCTTGGATATGCGCACCACCGGAAACTGAAGTGCCGCCATCTTGGATGCTCGCGCACCACCGGAACCGGAAAGGACGTTATCTTGGATGCGCACGCATGGCCCTCTTCGCGCATGCGCAGTCACGTTACTGGTCCTAGGACGGGGCCCTCAACTTCTCCCCGCCATGGGACACATTAAAATTAAATATATTGTAGTGAATATTAACTATACAATAAAAGTCATATAAAGCCTTAGATAGAAGTTGCCACTTAGGCCACTGTATGTCATCAGAAAAAAATATTTGACGTGAGATTAATACGCACGAAAGGCCTCAGTCTTGATACGCATCTCTTAGATAAACTAAATTCAGGAGTTTCTTAGAAAAGTGTCCCCATTGCAGACACTGTTCACCATGTAAAATAACATGGAACAAGGGCCGTCAAGCAGCTCTCACACTTTGCCGAGGTGGTTGCCGAGCTCTCCCGAGCCAAACTCGGGAAGAGACTACATATATACGAGTATCATACGAGTACACTACTAGTGTGTTATAAGCCCCAAAGGAGTCCAATAGGAGTCTAATATGAGTCTATTAAGAGTTGCATGCGAGCACAACGATCTCGATACGAGCTGTACGAGTTTGGTACGACCTTGGTACGAGGTGGCGACGAGCTGCTAAATAATTCGGCGGGAATTACACTCGTACAGCTCGTTTTAGACTCGGCAATAAATTTTGCAGACGATCCTCATACGAGTTCTGTACGAGCACCAGGGGGGGGTCACAAGGGTACTTCGAGTAGGACGAGTGTGTTACGAGTTTGTTACGAGTTAACTGGGAGTTGGCTGGCGGCCTGACTGTTTTGAGTTCCAAAACGATCAGTACGAGGTAACCCGAGTTACCCCGAGTTTAGTACGACCTCGCTGCGTGCTCCATACGAGTAACCCCGAGTCAGATCGGGTCCGTACTCGTGACGCAACTCGGCAAAGTGTGAGAGCCCCAGAACTCTAATTTACAGGACACATTTTCGAACTTGACAAAGATCTTATAGAGACGCATGCACACTTTCATCTTGTAACTTCAGTAGTTTCTGAGATAACTAGTCCCCATTTCACGCAGAATGCATGAGTGAGGGAGTGAATAAGTGAGTGATTGAGTTGGGTTTATCGCCGCTTTTAACAGTATTCCAGTTATATCACGGCGTGTCACCTTAATGTGGGAGGAAAGCCCGAAGTGATGCAGGTCTCAGACGTTTACCACTGATCTATCATTTTTTTTTAGTAAAACTCGACAGAAACACAGTAGTGTCACCATATGTAGCTAATAGCAAAGGTAATTTGCCAGAGCAAAACCTCAGATGAACAAATATTCTTAAAGGTTTGGTTTTGGTTTGGTTTGTTGTTTAACGCCGCACTCAACAATATTCCAGCTATATGACGGCGGTCTGTGAATAATCGATTCTGGACCAGACAATCAAGTGACTGACATCATGAGCATCGATCCACGCAATTGGGATACGATGGTATGCGTCAACCAAGTCAGCGAGCCTGAGCACCTGAGTCCGTTAGTCGCTTCTTACGACACCATAGTCGCCCTTTACTCTGTGAGAAATATATATGTAAATACACCAATTCAGCATCAAGAAAAGGTCCTCCGGCCAACATATTTCTAGAAGGAGTTGCTTCGACTTCAGAGGTTCGTCAATCACATGCTAAAAGATTTTCAGGTCTTACTAATTTGAAAAACACCATTTATGAGTCATGTCATGTTGTTACACCTTAAATGTGACATATGGCAGGAGTTGCTTGATGTTTTTGAATTGACAAAACAACTGTTCTAACAGTGTGACGTTGATTTCAAACGGAGGTTAACTCAAGCTAATTTGATGACGTTCTTAGACCAACCATCGTACATGTCATGTTTTGTTATAATATCATAGTGTTATCATGGTCTTCAAAATTACCACTGAACACAACAATTGATAACTCCATTCTTATAAATAACGTTTTATGTTCAAAGGTCACTTACCTCCGCCGTTTCGCATACATAAGTACGGGAACTTGATGAGTGAACCAGAGCCAATGCTGCCACCGAGGAGGGTGATGAGGTAGTCCAAGTGGTGACGCCAACGTTCAGGTACCATAGCTGGAACAAGACAAAAACATCATGAATCAATGACTGGTCACAACGTAACGGCTTTTCTAAATAAAAAGCCAGTTTCATCCATGTCCGTGAAGATCTGGGGTAGAATAGGTCTTCAGCAACCCATGCTTGCCGTAAAAGGTGATTATGCTTGTAGTAAGAGGCCACTAACGGGATCGGTTGGTCAGACTCACTGACTTGGTGTATGCATGTTACAGTAGCCTAATTGCGTGGATCAATGCTCATGATGTCGATCACTGGATTGTCTGGTCCAGACTCGATTACTAACAGACCGCCGTAATATAGCTGGAATATTGCTGATTGCGCCGTTAAACAACCCAACCGACCAACCTCCCTTGCATACTGAAAGTACAGATGAGGCGGTCTAAATCAGGTGGGTTAATCAGTCGAAGGGAATTGACTATTCGATGGTCATTGAACGACATCAGATCATCGATATACCTGAAGCTAAAGTTAAACCTCTTTTTGACTTTGCCAATTCGAGCTGAAATTCCGTTTCATATGCATAACGAAACACAAGAAAGGGAACACAGTAGGTGCCCCAGGGGATGCCTACTTCTTGTCTAAATGTCTTACCCAAAATTTTACATAGCTGTTAAAGAGTGAGAAAGTCCAGCATTTCACATATTGTATCTAAGTAAACTTCAGATGGCATTGCTTAAATTGTTGACAAATTGTCCCGAACCTCAGAATACAGGTACATAACTGTATCTGTGGTCACCGCCTTTTGTAACAAAATCCCAATGGATCAAGGTTCATCTTGTCTCAAGTACTGAGAATATAAAGAAAGTCCTTCTTTGATTGCATTAAGGATTATGGTTTGTCTTTGAGACAAGGATTTGGTACTACATTTGCTGGACCCATCAATATAGATCTCTTTGTACGGATTTTTTTTTGACATTTAGAATCCAGTACCAAAGAGGAGTGAACATGTCTTCGGGTGTTAGAGTCAAGTCAAAGTTCTTAGAACTGATGTATAGTTTTGTCAGATTTCTTCATCAGTTATCATACTGGCCTCATATTAGGTATTATTTGATATGTCATATATGCCACGTACTTTCGTCAAACACTTAATGGAGTTATGCTTACATGGAATGGTTATGTTATTTGAGGCCTTGTCAGTTGGAATAACTACAACAACTGGTCATGTGGGGCAGCCAGACAGCTGGCTTTTTGTCACATATTGAAACTGTTAAAGCTAAATGTTTGAAGGCACTTGATTGAATAAGTTGTTTCGAATTACAAGTAGGGATGAGACCAGTCGACCCTCCTTGAGTTGTATATGTATGTATTGTGATATGTTTTGATGGTTGAATGAGAGTGTTAAGTATGGAACTGTGATGGTCTGCTTATTTTCCTGTCCTTTTTCACAGGTATTTTATAGTCAGTGTATTTATTATGTATTACCTTTGAAAGTCACTATGTGGCTGATCCTGCTGGGGTATCATGCAGGAAGCAGAGGTACTGTAAATCCCCATCATCCCCAGCGAGGTGGCCTAGTTTTCGTTACTGGTGGCCTATAGCCCGTGTTTTAAACTGTATTATAGATATTGTTATGCTCAAAAATGTTTCATAACTTGTTGTTAAATATAACTTTGCATAAATAACTAAATTGTAAATATATTAACTTGGTCTCCTTGCTATATGGTTGGACTAATGCCGGTGGAACTTTAAATTTGAACTTACTAAAAAACAAACATATTTTCACCCGGCAATATCGCTGTATGGACAAGCTTGTGTCATAAAAGGTTGTGGATCACGACCTTTAGTCAAAGTGATGTCTTCATAAAAAAGTATTGAAAGATGCATTATTAAATTTCAGAATAA